ATGACACCTTAATTTTATTTCCAGGCCAAGTTCTGGAAACATGGTAATGGCTGAACTGACCTAGGCCTCTTATTTCTCAACAAATTTAAGAGACCAAATCATCCTAAAATGCTATTCTTGTGACATATTCCTTAAACCATGACAGCAACAAAACAACTCAGAAAATAGTTCACTAATCCTATTGGAAGGAATGAAAGATCACCCTTCAAAAGTTACCATGACTTTCCTTTTTAAGAACAAGTTTTCCTTTAAAAATAAAAATAAAAAAATCCCAATTTAAAGAACCTAGAGTACGAATTGGGAGAAAAATTACCCCTGACTAAGATATTTTAATGGTATCTTGTTTCCCAACACTCACTAGACCCCTCCAGGACAGTGAGATAGCCTTCTAAGTACAACTAGGAAATCACAGAATTTACCTTGATACTCCAGATGCATGCTTTGTTCTGAGAGCTCTTTCAGTGGAAGAAACACTTTCCACACATTAGTGTTTATTGTATTGGCTGGATTAAAGTTAATGGAATGAAGATTTTGGGGTGAGCACGGTGTTGTATTCTTTATTCATTGTTGAAGTTGATCAACCTCTTATACACACAGTGTGCAGATGATTACTTTAGAAACATGTAGCAAGGTGCTTAATGCCAAATAGCTAGTAAATGGCAAGTCTTGGTGCAAAGCGAGGATTTTTTTTTTAGTGCTGGGGATTGAGCCCATAACCTTGAACATGTAAGGTAAGCACTCTATCACTGAGCTACATTCCTGACCCAAAACAAGGTCTTTTCTGATTCAGGAAACTTTCCAAAGGAGTTCCTAATTACAAGACTGTAACAATGTAACCCTAAATAAATAACTATAGTACTGGATTGTATCCCATAGAATAAACCAATATCCATGAATCTGTACTGTTACAAATACTTCACAAGTAAGGGAAACAGGATAGCTCTTCCTTATAGTAGAATTCAATTTGACAAACATAGATAAAAAGAGGGAAACAGAATTACCATTAGTTGAACTATAGTAATAATAGTTGCAGTATATTTATTAATGGATGCTAAAATAGGCAAAGTTTTGAGAAAAAACAGGATTTACATATTCTGAAAGTATCATTCCCAGTATATTTATTAACCACAACCTTAATGATCTGGTCAACTGGTGACCATACAGTGGAGAGAGAATTCCACCAATGACAAGACATAGCAACACATATGGTGCACTGACAGTAATATATTATTTCTGTGGCTTTTTGCCAAAAATCGCAAATTTGATAAGACAAAGTCAAACTCAGGCCCACTCTACAAAATATCTGATTTTCTAAAGAGCCAATTAAAAAAAAAAGGAAAAACAGATACTGTTACAGATTGAAGGGATCTTAATAAGAAGTGACTAAATGTAATATGGAATTTTGAATAGGATTCTGGAAAAGAAAAACTCATTGGTGGAAAAACTGGTAAAATTCAAACAAGATTCTTAGTTGTGTTGCTTATATTGTCTCAAAATTAATTTCCTGATTTTAAGAAGTTAAGTTGGGTGAGGGATAAATGGAAACTTTGGAGTATATTTACAATTTTTTTTCTCTAAGTCTGAAATTGCTTCAGAATAAATTTTTAGGAAAAATATGAATGTATGGGATGCCAAAGACATGCTGCCTCTCAACTGTTCCTGGTGGATTTCCAAACCACCTGAAGAGCCGGATGTTAAAGGAATGTGGGCTTACCGTGAGCACTCTGGACACAGTCCTGTCTGTTGCTATGTACTGCTGTTTCACAGGATCTCAGGAGAGGCGGAGGTGAAAGGAATGGTTTCTAAACAATGGGGTAAGGAGGGTAGGTGGAACCCGACAGATGCTTCTTGCTGAAATATGTGTTTCCTAGGCACATTAGTCAGAGGGTAAAAGGTGGCACTATCAGTCTAAGGTCATGTTTCTCAGGTTCTAACTGTGTGAGCCTCATAGGAACTTTCAAAACCTTTGAATTCCTTCTGTGTGGCTTTGGAAGTTGATAACAGATGTCCCATGTCTGATCTGTAAATTCGAGCTCCAGATTATGGAGCACTAGTCACCATTAGCTTTCTTTTGTGTTTCAGCTCCTCATGGGTTGGGGGTACTTACTGATTTCCCGGCCAGGTGCCCTGTCCAGAAATGACCTTGCATTTTTATCTATGCAGCTTCAGTAGGCCTCAGCATACCCACTGTGACACTGTTTTCCAGATGCACTTGATGGATGCACCAGCAGACCAAAGTCAGTGCACTCAGTACATTCTGCGGAACTTTCAGAATACGAACAGCCAAGGGGGGAGGGAGAAAGAAGGAGAAGCACATCTGCGTGTGTGTGCACGTGCGCACATGCGTGTGTGTAGAGCATGCAACTTGGGGGCTATGAAGCAGCCATTTTCTATACTGAGGACTGGGAAAGAGAAAAGCCAAGGAGAGAGAAATAGAGGGAGGGAGAGAGAGGGAGGGAGAGAGAGAGAGGGAGAGGGAGAGAGAGAGAGAGAGAGAGAGAGAGAAAGAAAATAGGAGATCTGAAAACCTCCCCAAAGGACTTGCTGATTCTCCATGATACTGCACATTCAGCTATGTTTCTCAAGCCAGATCCTATGTCCCTGGGCTTGGAGTCTGTGGGATTTTTTTTAGCCCCCTTTCAATAAATTCTCTTAGTTATATAAGTTGGGTTTTGTCTCTTGTTGCTGTCTCAGCTTAAAAGAGTGGCTCTGCAGCAAGAGAAGAGGGCAGCTGGTGCCCACCCAGGAGAGGATCACTCAGCTCTCCCTGGTCTCACGCCTACTGCTGACACCTAATGCCAAGCTGCTGATGTTGGAAATTCAGTTTGCTGGCATCTTGCACTCCCATAGCTGGTAACATTGCCTTACCAGGGCAAAGCCTATGGTATCACTACTGCCACCATCCTGCCCCCCACAATCAGAAGAAAAAAGCTAGTGATGTCCTAAATTTAATTAATGGGGGGTGCGGAGAAAGGAAGGAAAGCTACTCAGTTAAAGTGCAGGCCAAACAAAGAAACAAAAATTCCACATTCCTGATTGTATGTTAAAACATTAACATTACGTTGAGAACCCAAAGAGCAGACCCCCAGGTACTGTCCAGTTTATAATCCTGTACTCCCTACTCCTCTTTTTTTCTTTTCTTTTCTTTCAATATTGGAGATTGAACCCAGGGGTCACAGTGAGATACACCCCAGGCCTTTAAATTTTTATTTAGAGACAGAGTCTCACTAAGTCACTCAGTTGCCCAGGCTGGGCTTGAACATGGGCTCCCCCTGCCACACCCTCCGAGAGTGATGGGGTCTCAGGCGTGCACCACCACACCCAGCTAATACTTTGCCTTCATGACTGTCCTTCTAGCCCAAAACATTCCCTGCTTCATGTTGTCTTGCCTCTCTTATCTATAGCCAATGTAGGTTCAATGTAAACAGCTTCTTTTCTTCTCCAAATTTTCACTATAGAAGTTTCTTGATTTATAGATCTTTCAGACATTTTCCACCTGTTAACTAGCCTTGCTGTTGGAAGTTGTAGGAACTGTCCTAGCAACTATTTCTTTTCTGGCTGGGTTCAATAAAGTCTTTATTTCAGAGACCATTCCATCTCAAAAGCCTTGACTGAACTCTCACAGGGAAAGTATACTATTTATACTCACTATTATTGTAGTCCCTTCCTGCCAAGGATCCTAGCATGAATTTTAAGACTGGATGTAAAGCCATGTATCATTTAAGTTATCTTTGGCTAAAGTCCCTATCAATCTCCAACTAGAACTGGCTTTAAAAATAAGACTTAAAAAAAAAAACTTTAAACATACAAACATGTACCTGGAATTGCTTTGAGTCTGCCCTCATCCATATAGTAGCTTTGTACTCAGACTGGCTGAGTACAGTGGGTTGGGTAGCACATTGCTGGGCATCATATTTAGTACGGCAATGACCAGAGAAAAGAAGTGGTCCATCTCTTGCCCATGTGATTTTTAAAAGTAAAGAAAATGTTCTGTCTAATTAAAGGTTAGTGTAATTGCAATAATAGAGGACCACCTCAGATATCACTCAGTCTTTCATTTACCTCAGAGGTTATCAACCTTCTTTGCATGTTAGAGTCCCAGGAGAAATTAAAAGAATGCAGACAATGGCTCATAGCTACCCCCAGCATGCCATCACTGAGGAGTTTTTTAATTGCTCAGGTTGTTCTAAAGCACAGCCAACATTGGGAAACACTGGTGCAAATATAATTTCAATAATCCCACAATCTTTGATCTTCTAGACTAGTTTAGATGTGCCTAGCTGTGCCCAGACATGCCTAAATCCTAGGGTTAGCACTGTCTTAGCCTTGTGACACCAGAATAGCTGGTCTCTTGGGTGGACAAAGAAATCTGCTAAGAACGTAGTTTGCAAAGAAGTATGCTGATTTCCTATATACCATCTATATGTGCATGCATCCCCTCTCCCCCTGAAAATGCTAAAAATACTACCACCTAGTTGCAAAGGAGGAGACTGTCTTCTCTGTACCAATCCTAGGTTCGTGGTTGAGGCTCCTCTAACAAAAGGTAAATAAGAGGCTCATACAAATTTATTTAACTTGATTTTACCTGGCGTGGAGTCTTCCTAAGGAAATGAACTTGCTACTCTGGCATCTGAGAAAGTCGTAGAAGCAGGAAGATGATTCTCACCTTCCTTCTCCCTTTTCCCCTGAAGCAAGCCATAAACCCTAGAGGGATTTCCTAACCTCATGAAGGAGATCCTAAGACCCTCATCTGAGAGTTACCTTCCCTAACCTGGAGGAAAGGAATCAAAGGGACAGAAACACAGAGAAGCATACAGACAACAGGCCTGATCAAGCCTCTTCCAGTTTATTTCCATGAAGTCACGCTCCCTTTGACTCATATTTCATGACTGTCCACTCTTTATCAAAACTAAACATAAAAATACACAAAGTTACCTGTTTCTTTCTCTCATGTCACGTACAATTTATATTAAATAAATTTGAGTGCTTTTCTCTCACTAGTCAATCTACTGTTAGAGGATCCTCAGCCACAAGCTTAGAAATGGGTTAGGAAAAGAGATTTTTCCTCCTCTATATAAACAAGAGACTTGGTTGGTGGAGAGGAATAGAAGTGCAGATTAAGAGTTGTTGATACCAAACAGAACAACTAGAGTAACAAATTTGGCCTCTGTCCAGTGGCTTAAAGGAGTTTAGATCTTATTGAGGGGGCGGAGGTGGTCAGCAAGCTTTCAGCAAGGGAGCAAGGGTGTAAGATGAGGAGGCAAGTGTGTGAGGGGTATCACTGCACCAGAGGGAGGTGCTGACTGCTTGGAAGCAGAAATGGTTCCTCAGGACATTCACTGCTCTGTGTCTATGGTCACAGAGTAGAATCACCCTGAGCAGGGCTCCCTAAGTCTAGAGGTGCAGTTTAATTAGCTACCCTAGCAATCCTAGCTCAGTCAGTTGATTCCTATGTCTACAGGCAAATGGTATTTTTAAAAATCCTAGGATACAGACACCTAGCGCCATCTCGGTTTCTGATTAATCATTTAGATGGGACACCTAAACCACTTGGGTAAAAAGATATGTAAACTTTGGGTCAGGATCACAATCCTGTCTCACATATATGACTCCCTGACCCTGCTTTCAGAATGTGTGTTGGGGGGTGGGAGGCAGCATTATTTTCCTTCAGCCATAGTTTCCTAGCAACCAGGAAGTCATCTGCTCTCCTGATGTCTGTAAGCGCCAGCCCCAGCCGCACTGATGCTCAAGCACCTGCAGAAGCAGAGAAAGAACAAAAGCCCTTTGGTTGGTAAGAGATTCTTGAAGGGGGGGGCTTAGTACAGAGCCGGCACCTAACAGAGCACAGCAGGAAGCTGCCGCGGTTGGTGGGACGTGGAGGGGGCTGAATATCCTGTCGTGTGCATGGTATTCCTGGGGGATGTGGGGGCTGCGACTTCGGGAGGGCTGGTTTCTATGAAAGAACTAAAGCCTAGTTAGTGGCTGACATCTTTCCAATACCTATTCTGTGTGTGTTTCCAGGCAGTGATCTTGTTTTCTTTAAAGCTCTCTAGATAGAAAAGAGGGGTGACTGGCAGGATTCAAATCAGCGGAATAGTCTGGGCAAATGGCCCTTTTTCAACCAAGCAGAGCTGCTAAATGCATATAAGTCTCTGAATTCTGCAATTAGAAGGAACCTGTCCAATCATTCAGTCCTTGTTTTACAGAGGAAGAAACGCAAAAACCAGAGAGGTAAATTCACTTGTCCAATATGACACAGCTACTTAGCAGCCTCACAGTGGCTGTGACCTCCAGCCTCGTGTTCTGGAAGTAAGAGATGCTCATCTTTTCAAGATTTAAGCCTATATATAGTATGCCACTTGAATGGGGCAAAGGAATCAAAGAGAAGGACAACAAAAAAGAGATGCAAATTTTATAATTTATAAGTCTGAAATTCAAAGTTTTTGTTCAGAATTACAAGAATGGAATAAAGAAAAGGCTAAGTCTTCTGCCTTTCAGGCGTCAAAACAAAGTGAGTTCACTTCCTGTCAAGTAATTGAGGTAGGACAAATATCCCATGAACAAATATTTTTCTGAACTACTGAATGAAAAGAATTTGAACACATGCCAGCCTTTATGGAGTCTCAGAATGTTAAGATGGAATGTGCTTTTGGTGATGTTAACCAGACCCACCAGTTTTTAGGTAAAACTGAGACTGGGGTGCCGATCAACCAAGAAGCCTAGCCATGGCCGTGTAAAGCGGTGGTGGAGTGGACCCACATCCTGGCACCTGACTTTCCTGGCCCAGGCTCTCCCTTCTCTAAGCTGTGAGGCCACCTCTCTGGCTTGCAGCACCCTCTCTCACTTGACTGTCCTGTAGGAAGAAACAGAATTGTCTTCTAAGCTCATCTTCTGTCCAGGCATGTGCATACTCTCTTCTGCCACTTTGCCTTCTCCACATCCCACCATTCCTGAAAGGCTGAAGCAGATACAGCAGCAGCTAAACTGATTCAAAATAACTAAGTTACCCAGTGAAGAATTTATGTAACTCAGTGCATCCTCCTTCCTCTTTGCTTACTGTTGAAGAGCTGACCCCAATAATCCTTATGGTTTATGTGCTACACGCGTCCAAAAAAGTTTTTAATGATATTTTGAGTATTGATTTCAAAAGTACAAAGGATAATCTGATAAACATCCAGGGACTTATCATCCCAGAATCAAAACTGTTAACATTTTTGTTATATTTGTGTATTAGTATTTTCCAGAATAATGTGTGTGCTGTGTGTGTGCATGCGTGCGTGTGTGCGTGTGTGTGTGTGTGTGTGTGTGTACAGGTGCAGTGTAAACTGCAGATAGAAGTTTAGAGAGACAGAGAGAGATACACAGAGAAAGGAAGGAAAGAGGGAGTGAGATTCCTTTTAAGGGCCTGATTCTCTTGATTGTGGAGGCTTGGCCAGTCCAAATGCTGGTGGGGGAGGACAGCAGGCTTGATACCCAGGAAAGAGTTGTAGCATTGCAGTTTGAATCCAAATGTCAGCTGGAAGAATTTTCTCTTGATTTTCATGCTCAGGGGGGGTCATCTTTGTTCCTCCCCACTCCACCCCAAGTGAACTCCTGAGCAATGGAGTGGTAGATTTTCAAGAGGTCTTTTTAATCTTTGTTCAAGGCCTTCAAATGATTAGGCAAGACCCATTCAAATTATGGAGGAAAATCTGCTTTACTCAGAATCTCTCAATTTAACTGTTAACCTCATCCAAACAGCACTTTCATAGACATCCAGAATAACGTTTGACCAAGTGTCTGAGCACAATGTCCCAGCTAAATTGAGCCATAAAATGGGGCATCACAGTGTGTTTCAAATCTTTTTTTAAGTAAAATATGGCAGATAGAGTTGATTCCCACTCAGAGTCCCCCTGGGTACTCTATTCAACAGTTATGACAGCTTACAAATCCCTTTTTTGTGACTTCAGAGCCCTTTAGGCCCTGTCACCTGATCTCCACTTTTGGGTTCAAAGTTGGTTTGGGAATTGAAGACATGGCAGTCATGATCATGTGGTCTTTTGAGGCTCTCCTGGCCACAGGAGACATCACACCAGGGCGGACACACTAGAAGTCACTGTGTTGAATGTACAAGTCATCCACGTTCGGATGATTCTGTCCAAAGCCCTACCAACTATTACACAAGCCATTTCTGTTTTACTTAGAAGATGACTGCAAAATACATAATAAATCTTAGGAAAACTTGGAAGGCATAAAAGATGTCAGATCTACAAAAGACGCAGGCCAAAGCCTCCAAACAGCTTTCTGACCTAGAACCTGCTGGAGAAGAGGCCTGAACTCTGTGCACTGTTGAATCCCTTCTGGAATCTAAGGCTCCGTGACTGGCATTTGGAGCAACAGCATCCCTAATTCAAATTCTCTCTGATTTGCTGCTGTAGTTTCTAGGCTTGGAGAGGCTGGGTCTTCCCAAAGGCTATCAGGTGCAGTGTAAACTGCGGATACTTGTTCAGCTGGATAAACCTTTAACCATGGAAAGAAGGCTTGTAAAGAAGGAAATGAAAAAGCTGCTGTAAGTATGATGGGAAATAACTCTCATTTATGACACTTGGCATTTGGTGGGTTGTCATAGATGGCCTGGATATTAACAGGTGGGTGAAAAGCTAAGGAAGACTGTGCTCCTGCCCTAAAGGAGAAAGCCAGAAGACACCCTGGCCTCTTTCTCCTGCCAGGGAGACCTCACACATGGTGCACAGCAACGTGCTGAGTCTTGGGAGGATGTTTCTACCAGCAGCATGCATGTCTGAGGCATCCCCATCCTAGACTCTGAGAGTGGAGCCCAGCCAGTCAGCTAGTGTAGGTAGGATGAGCTGTTGCAAGGGGCTGGCTAAATGATATAAGACAGAGTCCTTGAAAATGTGCTCAAAAGATCAGCGTTTAAATTACAGCCACTGCCTCTTATTCTTAGCATATCAACCAAGTAATTCATCTTTCTTTTGACATCTGAATTTTTAAAAAAACGTTGCTTCCTGTGAAAATTTTTTCTCTTTTGTAGCTTTTCTTTGACTTTGTACTTCATAAATGCTGGTGAAAAACTACTACATAAAAAGAGAGGAAAATATTATATTCTCTTTTTTTGCTTAAATTCTTTTATTGGTACATTTTAGGTATACAATACATTTACATTTATCATTGGGTGCTTGTACCTGTACGTGATGTATCTTGGTTCTTATTTTTTCCCCATTCCCTGTGCTCCCCTCCCTATTTACAAAGACTTTGTTTCCATTTTTTTCTTTTCTCATAATTTTTCCTTTCCCTTCTTTCCTTTCCCCTTCCCCTCCCATTTCTCTTATGCCTTTGAATCTTTTCTTCCTATTTCAAATTATCAATTATTCATTTTAATCATTTTAATCCTTATTTACACTTTCAGTTTCTCACACCAGAGAAACTATTCGGTATTTACACATGTGTCTCCTATTTATTTCTCTTAAGCGTATGGCCTCAATATCCATCCATTTAGCTATAAATGTCTCTAGTTTCTCATTCTTTATGGCTGAGTAGAACTCCATTTTATTTTTAAAAACCACGTCTTCTTTATCCAGTTTCCAGTTGATGGGCACTTGGGCTGTTTCCAAGCTTTAGCTATTACAAACTGTGCCACTAAAAACATTTCTAGGCAACAGAGACATGGCAGGGGGTATCACAATCCCCAACTTGAAACTATACTACAAAGCTACTGTGATAAAAGCAGCATGGTACTGGCAAAGAAACAGACCCGAGGTTCAGTGGAATAGATTGGAAGATGCAGAAACAACTCCAGACATACTCAGCCGCCTCATCTTTGACAAAGGAGCCAACTACCCTCATTGGAGGAAAGATAGCCAATTTAATAAATGGTGCTGGAAAAACTGGATTTCAACCTGCCAAAGGTTAAAACTAGACCGACATTTATCACCATGAACTAAACTAAGATTGAAGTGGATTAGAGATCTAAATATTAAAACAGAAACACTAAACTTGCTGGAAGATAAGTTAGGTAGAACTCTTGAAGATATTGGCATAGGAAAAGACCTTATGAAAATATTATATTCTATTTCATATATAATTATAGGCATAACAATAATAATAATACACCTTTCATCAAAGATTTTATCATAGACCCCACCAAATGTTTCTTGTCTGCCTACTAAGATACTTATCTTTTACTAAGTCTTTAAGAAATGCTGGAATAAACCAAGTATGAATTCATATGTCAACATGTACATGTTTGCAGGCTACTACAATAATAAAGAACAAACCATAATCAAGAATGTCAACTCCTCTGCATGTCTCATGCAAAGAGCTGGAATTTCAAAAGTGATATGCACACAATTTTATATCCAAAGAATAATTTTAGGCTCCTTGAAATTATGTTGACATATACAGCAAGAATTCAATAATTTTTATGAATCTAGAAAAGATTAATGACTCAAAAGAAAGCTTTGGAAGGCAGGAACAAACTTATCCCCCACACAGAAATGAGCCCAAAATGCCCTTGTGGGCTTTCATAAAATCTGAGATTTATAGGGATCAGCCCCAGAGATTCCAGAGTCCTTTCCCTCATTCAGTCCATTCAGTTCCTCCCTCCAATTTTCCCAGGATAGCATTTCTCTATTCTTTTCCCATGGTGCATAGTCTACCTCCTCTTATTAAAATTCACTGTTAAAAAAAGATCTGATAAGAATACACTAACGTGGAATTACTATTAAGTTATTATGTATAACTTCTCCTAAGAGTATGCATTCTAAAGAGAAAAAGCTTTAAGTTTAAATAATCCATCTCTATAGCATTTTACACATCTGGAATACACCAGCTTTCGACATTCTGCCTGAATTTTGCATGGGCAGCAAGGGAATCTTTATTTTAAACAGTGAGTCACAATCCTAGTCTCTTTTAAAAAAAAAAAAAAAGCAGAACCTTTTCTTTCTGTGGATATTTGGTAGCCTTTCTGCTTTCCTGTAAATTCTATCCCAACAATGTTTGATTTTTAGACAAATGTGAATTAAGTTAGAAATGCTTACATATTTTAAGCCCAAAGCATTACAGATTACTACGTAAACCAAAACTGAATAGTAACTTAGCTACCAGGTAGGTCTTCATCCACTTCTGTTGTATTTTGGTCTTGGAGCAGGGAGGGGTTGGGAAAAAAGCCTCTTTCTGCAGACCTAGCCCCACGTTACCCATAATGGCTCAATGCTGCTCTCTTGTTTTTAAGGGGAGATTATATTGGCATCAGACTTCGGGAAAATGAATTTGACCCAAAAGGAAGAAGGCAACTCACCTTTCTAGATGACATGGTAAAGACATGCTGATGCAACTCACATTTGTGTTCTGTGTATATTAAGGGGACAGAATGAGGACAGAATTCAAATAGTAAACCGGGGTAATATTGACATACACACCCCAAAAACATCCTTTTCCTCATTTTTCTCATCCTAAGATTGTCCATGTGGTCATTTCAACCCATAAACAGAAAGCAAGTTGAAAATGAGAAAGTAAGAGTCTCACTGGGGAGAAAAGATTAAAAAGCAAAAGTGTACAAGGTAAAATGTTAAGTTTGTGATGTTAAAACCTTGTTAGCAAAATTAGCTGTCATGCTGTTTTCAAATGTAACAATTTCCTTACCATTTGAATTAGTGAGGGGAAACCAAAGCAATGGATTATTCTAAAATCCTCTGGACTCATGTTAAAGCCTAGATTTATATTAGGTTCTGATAGTTCTTCACAGAAACCACAGAAACATCTAATCCAAAATAAATTAACAAATCTTCAGTTTCCCTACTGCCCATTTACTATCCTTGTGCTCCTAAGGGGAGAAACGTGCTCTCCTCCCCTGCCCCCTGACTATAGAAAAGTTTGCTGAGTTTCCAAACCCCCTGGGAGTTACATTTGCAGCAAGCCTTATTGTCTCTGTATGCACTTTAAATAGAGAAATAAACTAGCTCAGAGCCAGGCTTCTCAAACTTTAATGAGGTCTCCTTACAATACTGTTTTGATTCAGGAGTGAGGGGTGAGGCAAGGAACCTGCATTTCTAATGAGCATACAAGATACGGCCGGCCAACTCTGCCAGTCAAGGTCTCAAACTCTGGATTAGGTTTCAACAATTGAGCATGGTCCAATTTTCCCTAAATATTTATATATTTATGTAAATTCACATTTCAGTTGGGTTCAATCCCAGAAAGAAAGACATATATCCTTGAGAGAATGTTAGAACCTTAGATTCCATCCAAAATAAAACCCAAATCAACTTTCTATGGGGGTATGGGTTTGATGAGGGAAAAGGAATGTATTTTGATAGATAAATGGCAGATATGCTTATGAAACAAAAACACTTAGAAATTACCAGGCAAAGGTCAACACGAGGATAGGATGAACATTCAATCGGCCCTCAGCTTTGAACTGTATGTCAGATCACTTTATCACGCTCATTTCTCCACCTGCAGAAACTTTCCTCAATCCCCACAACCTACTTCTGGGAAGCCTCCTCTCTGAAGCCTCCCAAGATTGTCCTCTTCTTCCCAGGTGGACACAGTGGTTCCTCCACATTCCCTAAACACTTCCCTTGTGCCCTTGAGGTACTTTCCTGACATCATGCAGAATGGGACATTGTTCTGTGGCCCTCTTTCCCACTGTCACCTTTTTCTATTTCCAAATGTAAAAAAACTGAGGCCCAGAAAACACCAATCATTCATTCGAGGATATACCACAAGTTGTTCACAGTACCTAGAGCGGAGCCTCAATTTCCTGATTCCCAGTTTACTCTTCTTTCCACTGATCTGTCTTTTCCTTTCTGGCTGATATAAATCACATAACTGCTCTAGTGGAAGATGAGTTGAATGCCTGAAGATGCCAAAGTATGAGCATCAGTTTACTAGACATAGACATAGCTAACATTCCTTCCCACTGGGACGTGACAGGATAGGACAGTCTTAGCCATGCATTGTCCCTGGGTCCAGGGAGCCCTTGGATCACTGTGTAAACCCACTCCTTCCCCTTCTGTGGCGTCTGCTTCCAGGCACACTATGACCTGGCCATCAGCGTTGCTCTACAGTGGCTGGATCGTTCAGAAGACTTAGCCTGGCTGGAGTGGGGGAAAGTGTAAGTTGAAACATGTTTATTATTTTCCTTTTCAGTGTGTCACTCTGGTTAATCATGGAGAAAGTTCCATCCCCCAATCTGACATGTTTTACCATGAGGCATTCTGATTTGCAGACGCTGCAGAGCTAACATCCCCTTTCCAACCAGAAACTGAAAGAAACCCTGCAGTTGCCAAGTTAAGAAGTCATAGATGTGTTTATGCATTTTGCAGCTTTTCTAATCGGTTTCTGTCAAGTGAAAAACTGGCCTGCACAAATGTTTCACCTGTGAAACGTGACTGTGCCTTACTGTATTATGTACACACTCTGACTTTTAAAATGATCAGCTCTATGGGCAATCAATCTTTCCCTAAGGACTATCAGACATTTGAACAGATAGGCCCCTGAGTTCGAGTCATGGGATAATTTCCTTTCCAGGATTATTAGCATTTTGTTCCATGTATACCATCCAGACAGATTCACTCAGTTGGTAAGAACATAGAACAATGAGGCCAGGATCCAATAGCATACTCCAGAAGCCAATTTTTTTTTTTTCTGTTCTGTGATCTTGGACTATACATCTGGTAGTAAATGACTGTAGCAGCTAGGTTTCATGTAATAAAGTAGAAAATCCAGTTTGAACAACTGTAGTTAAGCAAAGCTGGAGAAGAAGAGGAGGAGGAAGAGAGAGAGAGGAGAGAGAGAGAGAAAGGAAGGAAGGAAAACATGCCTCTGTAGTCAGGTCTGTGTTAGGCAAAATTTCATTCAAACTTTATTGATGTCACCAGGATCTCCCTCTAGCCTCCATGTCCTCTGGGTGGATGGGGATGGAGATACTGACTTGTTCAGTCTGCAATGTGTTTTCCATCCTTGGAACTTAGGGTGATATCAGCTTTGCTAGACATACACAGGCTTACAGTGGAGAAAGACAGTCCCCCCAAGCAAACACACAAGACGGGAAGAGCACTGGCTAACAAAACCATAAACATGCACCACGGTGGGGGCTCTGTTTGATAGCTAAGAAGCCATGGATTAAGAGCAAAGTCATCACAACTATTGGAGGACTAAAAATTCAAAGTGTGTATTTCACTGATGGAGGATCAGTCACATCAACTTTGTGAATAAGCGGCCAGCACACAGTCATTGCAGATTACTTAGGGTTATTATTGCAACCTTAACAGGTGTCAAAAAGAACAAAAATTGGAAGTAGAAAGGGGGGCTATTAAGGCTTGGGAAGAGTGTGAGGGAGAGGCAGATGGGAGAATGAGAGATGTAGAAAGGAGGGTGGATGGGACCGATGCACACTGTATCCATCTATGTAAACGTATAGCAAAGCCCATTCATCTGTACAATGAGTAATTTTTTAAAGAACAGAAATACATTCTCTGCTTTTATTTTTCATATTTTTCTTAGGAAACTGCCACTTCATAGCAGACCCATATACCCAAACTATCGAGAACGGGAAGCAATGATTTTATCGTCTTACGCTGGAATCTTAATGGTAAGGAAAACAACACTACACAAGTATATAAGTAAATATATGTGGTTATTTTATGCCTATTGTGTGCATTTTAATATTCATGCATATTTATGTTATTTTTCAATCAAAGTTTCCAAATGTATAGGATTAACTAATAATAAATGCTTCATTTTTTTAAATACTTCATTTTAAAGGCATAATAAAAAGATTCTGCTTCTATCCTGTCTCAAAAATACATTAAGAAACAAAATGAGAGACATGACTACTTGGTACCTGGAAAACTGGTTTATCTAGTTATTCAGCCAGGCATGGTGGCACATGCCTGTGATCCCAGTACTGGGGAGGCTGAAGCAGGAGAATCGCTGTGAGTTTGAGGCCAGCCTGGGCTACATAGTGAGTTCAAGGGCAGCCTGTAATACATAGTGAGACCTTATGTGGTTATTCAGAAGTTATGTTTTAATGCCTATAGTACTACATATACTGGAGGTATAATAGCTTTACTTCATAAAAAACGAAAAGCCATGATATAACAATGCATTATTGTTGTCGTTTAACAGAACAGTATCCCAATTGAAGAAGTCTTTAAAATTTATGGGGCCAATTCTTCTGCCAATTCTGGTACTACCAAGGTAAGGATGACATGAGACTATCAATATAAGGGGTTTTGAGAGATAAATTATTTAGTTTATAGATTCATAATATGTTTTCAGGTATTAGTTATGAAACAAAACCAGACCTAGCCATATCCTCCTTGAGCAATATATGTTTGTAAAATGCCTTTTAAAAATTTTTGCTTTTGTGTTTTGTGGTAGTAGGTATTGTACCCAGGGCTTTACCCATGCTAGGAAAGTTGCTCTACCACTGAACTACATCTGCATCCCTTTTTATTTTATTAATTTGGAGACAGGGTCTCACTAAGTTGCCCAGGCTAGCCTCAAACTTTCAGTCCTCCCACTTGGTCTCCTGAGTAGCTGGGATTACAGATGTGCTCCACCACACCCGGCTGTAAAATTGCTCTTATGTGGAGGACTGCATAGTAATAGCAAATGCGTATTTAAAATATTTATTAGTACATTTTAGTTTGCAGTACATAATGATTACATTTATCCTGAGGAGTTGGTACATGCACATAATACATCTTAATTCTTAGTCTATTTTTTTTTCATCCCCTACCCTTCCCGTCCCTTCCTGCTAATTTCAACTCTTGGCCCCCTTCCCATCTGCAAAAGCTAACAAGTTTTATGTAAGGCTGAGTAAAGCAGCGAATAGAGCACCAGGCTTGGGGTCCAGATTCCACTCTGTTTGTACCTAATACAATTTCTCACTCATGTTGTTTTGTAATGTCAATCTGGTGAAGTTACATTCTTCTTTCGTGTGATATGCTATAGTAGACAGAACTAAGACTAGACCTATATGGTTCTCTGGATAAAAGATTTAGTTTTAGCTAGGGTAGGGCCAGGGCTGTGTGGCCACAGGGACGCCTGTTTCCTTGTTCTTTTACCCAGGGACTATTCTGTGAGCAGGGGGTTGTGTCTTCTCCCCCTCATCTCCTACCTGGGGGAGGGTTAAGGCAGCCATCAAGGACTCCTGTGGACAGTCTCAACTCCCATGGCCAGAGTACAAATATAAAAAGGCTTGTCCTCAGGGTATGGCACCTGAACCCCTTGTCTTGGCTAGGACATCAATCAAGGCTTGCAAATATGAATGTCGGAGTAGCTCAGATACATCTGGCTCACATAATGGGGATGGAACAGAAGGACATGCTACTTACAGGTGGGCCCGCCAATCCATCCCTGTCCATTCCATCACTCACTATTTATTCAGGAGCCTCTCCTCAGTGGCGCACAGTCCCCATCCTCACCATCAGTGACCAACAATAAAAGGCCACAAAGTGACAAGTTCTGAACGAGAATGGGTCACATCCTCCTAGAAGGAAGCTTTCTTTTAAAGATCTGCCTTTGTTTATTGCTATAGGATGGGATTATTTATTGATTTACATGTGCAAAGCAATTTTTATATATGAAAGGATTATAAGCTGCTCTGGTTTGAATTCTCAGCTAAGTCCACATGTTACAAGTGGAACAATCTTGGGCATATTTTCTAATCTTATAAAGCCTCAGTCATACTTGCAAAAGCAGAGAAAAGAAGGTATAGTTGTTGTGAGGATTAACTGAGTTAGTATCAATGAAACCCTAATGTTTAGCATTACAATAACCTCAAAATAAAAGCTATAATTCAGGTTCCAGCTCTCAGGATTTAGGTAACTGAGACCCTCTATAGCAGGATTTCTTAACATTTTGAGCCAGATGATTCTTTGCTGTGTACAAGAGGTTTTGGGGTTGGGACCCGTCATGCACATTGTGAGATGTTTAGCATCATCCATGGCCCCTACCTATTGGATGTAAGTAGCTTTTCTCCGGATGTGACAATAAAAAATGTGTCCAGATTGCTACATGTCCCCTAGGAGACAAAAACCACATCTGCTTAAGAACTAATGCTCTAATTATCCCCAAATTAAGCACCTACCAGTATATCTATCATTGACACAACATAAACTTTGCCTATTTTTAGGCAATTAATTATTACGAAGGGCAAGACTTGAGGAACCAATGCAGGAATCTGAGTTTCTTTTCCTGTGAGCTCCACACCCTCTTTCTCTCCTGCAGAATGCTAGCTCAGGTCTTTCTCTTGTGGCTACACATTAATTACACTCAGGGATGTCCTCCTCATCTTGAATAAGAAATTAGCAGACCTCTCAATGGAAATGTAGCACTTCAAAAATTAAACTCTAAGACAATTTGAAAATAGTTCTCTGGGACTTAACTTTTTTTTAAAAAATGATTTTGACTAAAAGGAGAGAGAGTTGTGTTTTTTTTAAAGAAAAAAGACATATTGCCAAAGGTTTTTTTCTTTACTGTATAAATCTGAATGACCTCTGATTCCTTTGGATAAAAAATCTCCTAAGAAACAGCTAAGATCTTTCCCAAGCAAAAGCTTAAAATCCTGTTGAATACTAATCAGATTATGTAGAATTTCCCGAAATGGGAACTGGCCACCCTTATTCAACATGGGTTCTGTGCTCACTCTGGGCGCCTTTCCCAGGGCTATTTGCTGCCACCTGGTGTCAGCAGACATCACTGACACTGTTATGAACTCTGTTACCCTCAGGTTCTACCTCATGACAGGGAGCTGGTTTTTGCTGAGCAGTTTTTTTCTACTGAGGACTCTGGACTCAGAAAAAGTTTAACCAAGGAGCTTATATAAATATGGCTCAAGCTGGGCATGGTGACTTACGCCTGTAATCCCAGCACTCAGGAGGCTGAGGCAGGAGGATTGCCATGAGTTCAAGGACAGCCTAGATACATAGTGAGTTCAAGTCCAGCCCAAACTTCATAGCGAGACCCTGTCTCAGAAAAACAAAACAAAAGTACAGGCCATTTACAACTCACTTCAGGTAGCTATAAAATACACTACTCACTGCAAATCAAAGAAAAATTATAAATTTTTCTTCAACCAATGAAGCAAGTGATACAAATATTCTTTAGTTCTATTTGATGGAGAAAGAAGGGTAAAAAGAAAGAGAAGCAGAGAGAGTAAAAATGAGCTCATCAGAGAGAGGAGAGAGGGGCAGGGAACAGGGTACACAGGACCTCTGTTTTCCTTCTGTCTTGCCGCAGCCACAGCCTAAGGTCTGACGGCCACCCTTTGTGTCCATCCCAGCTGACATAACTTCAGAACCCAGCAGGCTGGGGTCCAATCCCAGCTCTGTCACTTGCTGGCTGTGTGATCTCTGAGACGTTTTTGAGTTTCTTGGAGTCCCACCCCTCTCCATGTAAGTCGGCACGGTCACTATCCAGCACAGCAGAGTGTCTTGGTGCTGGCGTGGGGGACACGCCCTTCCACAGTAGTGCCCTTATCGCCAAGTCCTCCTCCCCAGTCACGGTAGCAGCCTCTTCTGACTGCAGTAGGCCTGTCTTTCACCTTCTCATACTTCAATAATCTGTCAAGTGTCTTTTTTTAAATTTCCTTTGCAGCACTGAGGCCTGAACCCAGGAACCCAGGGCCTTCACATTGAGCTGTATCCCTAGCCCTTTCATTTTTTAATTGTTTAATTTTGAGAAAGGGTCTCACTAAATTGCTAAGTTGCCCAGGTAGGGCATGAGTTTGTGATCGTCCTGCCTCAGCCTCCCGGAGTGCTGAGATTACAGGAATTTGCCACCACATCCAACTTGCATTTTCTTTTCTTGGAAGATGCTGTCTCAGACTGACATTGTGCAGAAATGAAAAAGTGGTTTCATGATAAGGAGAAAGACCTATGTTCTAAATAAAAGTTCTTTATTGACAGATCTTAATAATGAGGGATTTAAGCACTTTCAATATTAATTATGTCCACCTGGATTGAAGCTCAGCCAGGAGATCATCAATATCAACTGTCCAAATTAATACGCTATATGTTCTGAGCACACAGACCAAGTAAGCACATTCACCAAGCATATCAAGAAAATTATCACTCTTACTCCTTTATAGTTTCATTACATATGCATCTTTAAACAATGTATTATTTAATTTTGCAGTTTTTAAATTTTATGCAAATAGAATAGTAGGAAATGTGTCATTCTGTGGCTTTCTTTTTTCACTCAACATGTTGCAAAAATTTATTGATGTGGCTATGTATAGCCATAGTTTTTTCTACTTTAGGAATATACCATGATGTATTTATATATTCCTGTTTTAGAAATTTTAGTTATTTCTTTTCTGTGTCTCCACTGCACAACAATACTCTATGTAAAGCCAAATTATTTTCCAAAATGATAGTTCTCATTCCATTAGCAGTGTAAATTATCAATGTTGATATTTAAGACTTTTAAAGTTTTGTCACTCTGTTAAATGTATTATGTATTATGTTCTTTAGGGGTGGATGCTTAATATGTGTGCTCAATGAATATCTCATAGGTGTTTGAAAAAAATATATTCTCTGTTTATCAGGTACAAAAATATTCATGGTACGTGTATATGACTTGTCAGAGTTACTACCAGCATTTTCTGTAGCTTAGGTAATGCATGAAAAGTGCATAGCACAGTGCCAGCCACATGCAAAATGCTTAGTGTTAGCTGTTATTTGTGTGTCAAGACCTTGTAATTGTGAATTTGTCAATTTCTCTTTGCATTTCCCAGAGTACTTGGTTTATATATTTTGAAGCTATTGCAACATGCATAAAGATTCATGATTTTAGTGAACTATTCTTTTTTTCAAATTTTAAAAATAGCCTTTGCCTCATATAATGTTTTCATTATATGAATTCTATTTTGTCTGCTATTAAAAATTTCCAAGCTTAAAAAAAAAGTAGTAGTTTTGACTTCTATTCTCCTGATTATCAATGGATAACTATTTCTATGGGTTGTTGTTGGGTTTTTTTCTGTAAAGTAGCTGATAAAGTCTTTTGTCCATCTTTCTGTTGAGTTATTTGTTTCTCCTCTTTCTCTTGTAATACACAGTCTTGATTTTTGGAACAACTACTGTAAGATAGTAGTTTTCAAGTTCTGGATTTTCCAATATGTTTCCCATTTGAAATTTTCTCTTTTTTTTTTTAACACATATTAAAATGTTTAGAAAATATAGTTGCAACATCCCAGCCACATTTGCAAAACTTAATCATATACAGTAAATCTATTTTTCCACACCACATGTCCTGCTTTTACTTTGGCAAATCTGACTTCTGTAAACATATACTCAATTGTTTTGACACTTAGGATATGAAACTTCACCTTCCATCTCGGTAATATCATGATAATGTTTTAGTAAGTTTCAGCTCCAGGTTGACAAGGTGATGATTACTGTCCATGCTCTTTGTCTCTTGATGGTGATTTTAAAAGTCTGAAATATCAAGGTAGATAATTTACATGGCTAATGAAATGGGAGCTATCATTTTGGAAAATAATTTGCCTTTATAAAGAGTATTGCTGTGCAGTGGAGACATAGAAAATAAATAACTCAAATTTCTATCTACCCAGGCTCCATGGGCAGTTTCCTAAATGCTTGTACATATCAGGTTCTCCTCCTTCTTCCAGCTAGAAGAAATTTTTGTTGAATATGCTCCAGCATTAGTAAGTACATGAAGTGAAAAATAATCACAATAATTCTTTCACCCTGAGACAATGAAGATATTAATCAATAGCTTTAGAATTAGAATAGGAATATGATTAACTTTAGATTAGGATTTAAATTTCATCCTAATTTTATAAGGACTGAGATACGTCATGTAAAGATCCCAATGATGAATGTAACTATTGTATACCTAAAATGTACCAATAAACTTAATAAAAGAAATAAACTTCATCCTAATTTTAAAATATTCTTTTCTATAAAACATATAGGATGCTAAGTTTGCATGAGACATCAGATTATCAGGACTCAGGAAGGATCACAGAATAGTCAACTTGGAAGAGACCTTTGAAATCCTCAGGCTCCACCTTCCCCAGTAAACAGGGAAAGTGGGGCATAAAAAACAGACCTTTATCAAGAATGACATTTGGACCAATTTCCTTGTACTCATACCTGGCACACATTATCCTGAAGGGCTATTATCACAGCCGTAATTGACCTATACTGAATCAAAGTCTCTTTTTTAATTACTCTCTGTGTTGGAGGACCATCTTTCTGAATAGATTATGTGGTTCATACGTTAGAGGTCATAGTTTAAGCTTATAGTTCATTCTGTACAACTCTAAACATGAAGGCAACCCCCAATAAATATTTTTGCCATTTGAATAAAAAGTGGAAGTGAAATTTAGTAGCACTACTGGTAAAAACCCTGTAAACTGTTTTGTCAGCAAAAAGAACACACCTCGGCTTATTGTTTAATTCATGTTCCCTATGTGATATAACAGAAAACCCGTAGTCATAGTGAAATATTGTACAGAAGTTTACTTCTCCTATGAAGGGACTCTGAAGGTGGGCAGACGAGGGCGAGTACCACCTACAGTTCCACAAGACCGTCAGGAGCACAGTTTGGCTCTTCTAGATCTGCCCAGTCATTCCCCTGGTGTGGCACCAGCTTCCACAACCATCTCTGTAGGATTAGAAGATGAAGAATAGCTCATTTAAGGAAATTCTTTAGGAATCTCACAGAACACTTTGTCCTACATATCACTGGTTACAAAATATTAAATATGGTCACACCAAGCTAGAAGGGTGGATTAAAGATAGAGACTTTAGCTTGCCAATCGCATATCTAACTACAAATCAAAAGGAGAAGAATGGCTCTTGCTAGGCAGCTAGTGACCCTCTCATATTTTCTAGGCCACGAAACTAAATTAATCTGCCTGAACAAAATTGTATTTTTCTGATTATGCACCTGCAGATTGAAGGAGATATTCAAAATTTAATGCAGTTCCCTAGCCATTGTCACATATTTCACATGCAAACAGGAATTTTACTATCTAGAAACCACCATGTCTCAACATGGAGATAGATAACAGGAGAGAAAAAGATACTTGCTATCACAATTCTTATTTAAGACTGCATCAAAGATCTTAATCAGTGTAGAAAAAAACAAGAAAACAAATACAATAATATAAAAATAAAGAAAACCATCATTCCTTGTATATAACACAATGAGTACTTCCAAAAGAATTTATAAATTATGGTATTAATAAGTGAATTTAGAAAAGTTGCTGGATACAAGGAAATGTGAAAATTAATTTCTATATACCAAAAACAAAGAGAAAATGAAGCATAGAAATATGTCAAAAACATAACTTATGAATACTTTTAACAAAGTTTCTTCACTGTGAGTATTACAGAAGGCCTAAGTGAGTGAAGAGATACAACATATTTATGGAATAGGACACTCTCTATGGCTATAATCTCAGTTTTCTCCAAAGTAATCTGGAGATTCACGTCAACCCCAATCAACATTTCAGATGATTTTCTCTGTTTCCTTCCTTCCTCCTTCCCCCATCCTTTTTTGTTTTGGACACTGACAAGCTGATGATAAAACTCATTAGGAAATGCAGAGCCATGAAAAGCCAAAGCAGTATAGAATAGGAAACCAAGGTAGGAGGTAGGAGATGAGGTGAACTGGACAAACAACTAGGTTGAGGGACATGCACAGAGCACAGGACCCAAAGTGACTCCATGGCTCCTGAGTGCTGTAAGGGGAACCAGTCAGAAAGCAGTATTTTCATTCCCTCATTCGAATCTGATGCTGCTTACAGGACCAATCAGAAAAGTGCTATTTTCAATTTCTCATTTACATCTGGTGGGAAGCTAAGTGAGTCTGTGCATAGGGGAGTTTAAATCTGGCACCAGGGCAAGTGAGTTTTTGATAGGATGACTGTCTCAATCCCTTATTTGTATGCGGGAGAAGCCAGTCTGGGAATTTTGGATTCAGAAGGCCCCTTTCCACTATCCTCCAGGCTGCTGTGAGTCTGTTCATCCTCCACACTCACTCTGGAGAGAGTGCTTCTTTTCCACCTTCAACAAACATACACCTTCACTACCTTTTCCATATGTCTTGTCCAATTCTTTGTTCAGGACACTGAGAAGCTGTAAAGAATCCCCCAGAACCCACCATCCAATAACAAGGAGGCATGTGCTATCTGATATGGAAGCCTACTACAAAGCTAAAGCTATGGCACAGCACAGGATGGACCCACCAAATGACCATGCAACAAATAGTCTGAGAACAAATATGCACCATGCAGTTCACCTGATTTATATAAAAGTGACACTGTTGTGGAGTAGGAAAAGGATGAGCTTTTTGCTAAACAGTGCTGGTTCATGTGGATACCTTCAAGGGAAAAAAATTTCTTGACCTCTACTTCATACTATATATGAAAATTAATCCCAGATGAATTATAAATATATATGTGAATGATAAATCAGTACAGCAGCCAGAGGAAAAGATAAAAGAGTATGTTTATGACTCTGGTGTTGACAAACATTTCTTAAACAGGATTCAGAAAGCCTCAACCAGAAAAATACAAGTTTATAAACTGAGCTATATTGAAATTCCTATCTTCTGTAAGCAAAAGACCATTACAATAGTGAATAGGCAACCTACAAAGAAGTTGGAAATATTCAAAATATGAATATCTACCAAAGGACTTCCATCCGCACTATATAAAGAATTCCTAATAATCAATAAGAAAAAGAAAAAATAATCTCAATTTAAAATGAGAGAAAGATGTGAACAAAATTTCTGCACTAAATTGTACAAAAAATGAAATATAAATAACCAATAAATATGAACAAATTCTCACCTTCAGTAGTCAGCAGAGAAATTAAAATCAAATAGCATGCTTGGATTGACAGATGAGCGAGTTGGTCATTCAGCATCGGGGGTGGCAGTGGGTGGTGGAGACTTTGGGGTGGAAGTCAGGGCAAGTTTCTCACAGAAAAGGATTGTTATGGCTTGTATCTAGATGTCCCTCAAAGCCTCATGAGGTCATAGTGTTGTGGCAAGGGAGTCAAAATGACCTTCCAGAGACAGGAGAGTAGGGTAAAATTTTTTTAAAAGTTTATTGTCAGGGAAGGACAGCCTCAGGAAACGAGTCCTTCTAGGCTGACCACGAGTTATGATAGTTTCCCCTTTTTATACCTCCTACAGGGTAGCTTAAATTGTGGTTACATAGCAGAATGTGGCAGAGATGTGATAAAGCAGCATTAGGTGGCAAGGGTACTTAGACAAACACACTTCAAGGCTAGTTTCTAATCTCTCCAGGAACAGGCTGCCCCACAAGAGGGAGAAGGCCCATCCAGAGTTTTCAAACAGGGACACGTTTCAAATAAGTTTCAAACAGGGTTTTAGCACAGAGTTCATTAATAAATACTTTACAATAATTATCCATTCCAAGTTATGTTTGGCAGCTCTTTCTACCTCAATAGGTGGGAGTTTTCAGAGGTGGCTGGATCTGGAGTATGTGATATTGGGATCACGGGTGGGTGATTACTAAATTAGTCCACTGATTGGTTTGCCATAGTTCTGTGAATGGATAATGGGAAGGCTCTTCCTGGGTGTGAGTGGATAAAATATAAGGGACAGAAAGAGGGTTGTTGTTTGTCGCTTGCTGCTTGGCTGTCTTCTGCCTGCCATGAACTGTTTCTCCTTTGCAATGCTCCTTTGCCTTGGAGCCAGTCTCCTATGGACTGACATCTCTGCAAACTATGAGCCAAATAAGCCTTTCCTCCTTTAACTTTGGGTGTTTTTGTCTCCACTACAAGAGAAATATAACTAACACAGGGGTGCTAGTGCTCCATTTTGAAGGAAAACTAGGAGCCTCTAGACAGAAAAGGAGGCAGTGGCTCTTTCAGGAAGTGAGAACCATGAAAAGCTTTAGGGCATGAAAGAGCTTTGTAAGCAAGGGAAACAAGTAAAGGAGGCAAGGGCAGTGCCTGCCATTCCTGTGAACCCTCATTTCATGTGCTTTGATGGTGAACTGTCATTAATGTCCAAGGACTCTGGATTGATTAAATAAGCCAAATGCCCTAACTAGCAGGTGTTAATACTACAAAGTGGGGTGGCTTTTAAAAGTCAGACTGTCTTCTTTCAGATTCCTCGAGCTCCACTGTTGAGGCTCTCCATGCACCCTCTGGCCATGTTAACAGCACCCAAAGCAGCAGAATATGCCCACAAGCAGAGTAAGCTTGTTTCCTTCCATCTACCTAGAGAAATTTAAGCCAAATTATGGGGTGGGCTCACAAGGCAAGGTTCATATTGTAATGGTAATTAGATTTCTGTCCAGATGAATCAAAATGAACAAGGAGCTTTTATGACCCGATTCCTCCCCACCCCCTAATGTATCAAAATCATAAAATCTTATTTCACAGAGCCTTTGGTGATGGGAGCAAAGCAGTCCAGAAGGGAAAGATCTAAAACTTTGGGTGGACACATTTTTTTAACTTTTATATTCAGATATGGTTACTGCATATGTCTGTAGGTGTCAAGCTAAGAAGGGGAGCAACAAATAAAAAAGCCAGGAGCAGTTCTACAAGGGAAACAAATGCCACAGGATGGAAATCATCAAAAAGTTTTTCATACACACTGCCAAAGAACGAAGTATGTCTGAAAACATAAAGTGGACCAAGCAGATACCGGATGTTTTGAGAGAACGGTATTTATCTTGTGGTTAGAAGTCAAGCCTCCAGGAAGGGCATGGTGGTGCACGTCTGTGATCCCAGCACTTGGGAGGCTGAGACAGGAGGACTGCCATGAGTTTGAGACCAGCCTGAGCTACCTAGTGAGTTCAAGACCAGCCTGAACTGGTTACATAGTGAAACCCTGTCTCAAAAAAAAAAAAAGTCAAGCCTCTGGAATCAGATGCTCTGAGTTTGAATCTAGAGGCTATTATTTATCAGCTATTTGAGCTCAGGAAGACTATTTAACCTCTCTGTACCTTAGTTTCCTTCTCTGCACATTAGGAAGAGTAATAGCACCTATAGTTATTGGGATGATTGACTGAGATGATGGAAGCTAATTGTTTAGAGCAGTGGTTGGGACTATGTAAACCTTAAACAAATGTTAGCTATGATAATCTTTTCAGCATTTGAAAAGTACCATTCATAAATTAATTGGCTGTTACTGTTGATTTAAGTATAATGAGGGGATTTATATTAATATCCATATCCCAGATGTTCCTATTCTTGGTCTCTCTCTTACTAATGAGAATTTTTATCTTTCCCTGCTAGGCATCTCCCCTGCTCCTGACCTGTCCTCCTGATTCCCAGGTTTTATGCTACAGGATTCAAATGATTAGAGATGTACAGGGCTAGAGCGAAAGGAGAAAGGAAGGTGTTTCTTTGTTCTTCCAGTTCTGGGTTCTCAGTCTTAATGTAAAAAGTGAAAAGAAAAATGTGAAAAGAAGTTGGGGAGACCAAGTTTGTCAACATAAGAAGAGCAGAGAGAAGAGAGAATCAGAGAAATGGTCCCAGCTGGGTGTCTGGGACATTTTAGAGCTATGTTGAAGGCGAGACTTGAGATAGGCTGCAATGTTGTAAAATAGGAGAGGGAGAGGGAATTTTGAAAAGCAATACACTGGGTCACAAATTGGGTTTGCTTTATGCAACATAAGTTAAAGCTTGAGAATCATTTTTATTTAGTTTGGTTGTTGTGCTATGTGCATCTTTTAAATATGAATCTGAACTAAGACCACTTGAGGCTCAGGATTTATTCACGTTCCAGAGGCAAGCTATTCATGGACTAGAAATATAACCTTGGCCTATAGTAGGACCTGCCTTAATTCTTAGGTCTATCAGGGATTTTATAACCAATCTTCTAAAAACAGAATGATCACACTATGGAGAAACCATCACCATACTGAGTTTTCTTTTAAAGGTATTTGCTAGGAGATTTAAGAGTTTAGAGTTTCCAGAACCATGTTTTTGTTTTTCAAGAACTTTTAAACATGAGGTCATTTTTATGTGTTTGGAGACACCAAGCTTTAGAAAGCAAAACAAAACAACAAACAAGAGCTCCAGAAATGTGCATGAACATACACAAACACACAACACTGATAATCTAGACCAAAGTTAATCATTCAAAAATAGGTATTTGAAACAGGAGGTCAAAGACCTCTGTAACAAAAACCTCACTTCAAAGATTGCTCATTTGTATGTCATTTTGAAGATATAATTTTATCCCATATATGTTTACTTCCATAACCATTGATGATTGCTGGCTTCTTGGTGAAAGCAGATTTTTATTTCCTTCTTATTTCTCACATGTATATAAAGTACTCTGCAGGCAACAGAGATTCAGTAACTGTCACTGGTTAGTGAAATGGCAGTAAGTGAATGGTCTATGCTCTGTCTGTACTGACTGAGGCTCATTCCCAGGCATCAGCCATCTCTATGGCCAATCGGTGTTCATAAGCTATGGGGCGTCAGAAGAGCAATGCCCATTTTGCAGTAGGCCTCATTCTGAGATGAATTCTTCCATAAAATCCTCTTCTTTGTAATCAAACAACAGAAAACCCATCTGTGTTTTTTCTTTCATGCTTCATTATTTGTGCAAATTAGCAATTTTTTTTCTGACTCCTGGATAATGTTTCTTTTAAACCAGTTAAAAAGTATAGCAGTAACACATACTTATAAGTAAATATTTCAAACCATACAGAAAAAGTAAAGTAAAAAGTGAAGTAACTGTCTTCTCACTACATTACTTTCCCACTGTTGATAAATATTGTTAATATTTTTTGTGATAGTCAAATACCTGCAATACATATAAATATGCATATATGTATATCTCACTGGTTTGTTAGATTCCTTTTATACTACAGAAATAAATATTTTGTTAAGTGGATACAGAATATCCCTTTATAGTTCATTGTTTGAGAATGCTTTGCATTTTATATATTTGGGATTCTTAGATTTTCCTTTATGGCTTATGGATATTATATCATGTTTTTTAACTGAAAAACATTTTTTTAGCCTCGAGATAAAACAATGCCTTACTCCAAATTTTCTATTCATCTCTAGCCATTAAACTTCACCTACCCAGAAAAGGGGGAAGCTATTCTTTAAAAATCCAGATATTCTGAGAAAGAGTTTTAAAGATTTCTTTTTTTGTTGTTGTGCTGGTGTTAGTGCTCCATTGCTAGTCAAAATGGATATGAGTAATACCACTTCCTAGAAAAGTGTTCATACTGTGAACATCACCAAGAAATGAATTTGAAATGGACAGGACCATACCAAAGAGTTCAATGACAACGTTCTTGAATTCTGGCTCCTTGCTTAATAGCTTACATAAATTGCTTAATCTATGCTTTAGTTTCTTCTCTATAAAAGTACCTACCTCATAAGGTCATTACAAGGACTAAATGAGTAGCACATAGGGGCTAAGAGAAGTGTTACAGCAATATTGCTCCCTTTGTTACCACTCCTGAAGAAGTCACAAAGTTATGGAAGGAAGCAAGACAGACAGGGAAGTACAAATTTAAATTCAAAGCAATATGTACAAAATTCAAAATAACACACTACAAGCACAGTACATAACTAAGAAATTTTAAAAAGATTTACTTGGGATAAGGTTAGCCAAAAGAAGTATAACTTTTATTATTTATTTTTGTGTTTGAAAATAGTTTCAAGCTTACAGAAAAATTGCAAAAAAAGAAAATTTGCAAGAATAGCAAAAAAAATTCCCATATTTCTGAATTAATCAATTGTTAATGCTTTGTCCCATGAGCTTTACTATTTTCTCTATCTCTTCTTTTTGAGCATGTATAGATGTAGACATATAATCTTTTTTGAACCACTAGAAGTTTTACCTACCCTTTCATTTTACCCTGTATACATCAATTTATATTTTCTAAGAACAAAGAAAGTCATTCATTAAATAACCACAGTAGAGTTATCAATTTCAGAATACGTAAGGTCGGTATTTTACCTGACCTACCATCTGCATACATTTTTTCCTTCTATACAGGATCCAGCATGATGTCACACATTGCATTTAGTTGAGAAATATAACTCAATTTCCAAATCTTTCAGAATAGTCCCATGAAAATTCTTTTATACCTACATTTGTGTAATCCATCTTTGTCAGTTAGCATTTGATATTTGAGATTAACTTCCTATGGACTGAAAGCTAGTTTTTGTGCCCTGTTATCTTGATGTACTTAATACTAAAATCATCCTTTCATTCTGCAGGTCGCAGAAACTTGGAGTTGTACCATAGAACTTCATAACACAATATGTGGAAGCAGACGAAAACCATCATCTTAAAACTACAGTCTTACCAGCACATTTTTCTTTACAGTTAGCTATTGCTGCAAACAGCATTGCATGTTATTTTTAATGTTGAGTTTTCTCCTCTTAGAAGCATATTGCAGAGTATGTTTTGGTAAAAGAAAAAATGTGTGTATCTTATGTTACTTCATTGTGACTGGAAGACTGATAGAAAATTCAGAGAGTATATAACATTTCTGTGTCAGAGCAGGCAGACTGGCTTTGTAGCATATTCTACAAATGTGTAGCATTCAATATTGCACAGGGGTATAGAGGACAGGTTTCCCAAGTTGTAACCCAAAGTAAAATTAATTGGTCATTAATTGCCTTTACAATGTTCTCAAATGGAAAGTATTTAAATCATTTCAATAAAGCATTAAAAGAAAAATGGCTGCACGCTTTCTCTCTGCAGAATGTGGCTTCTAGGAGAAGAAAATTTTCTACTCTTTCAGTAGCCTTTCAAAATGCTGATTAGGCACATGGCTTAGCCTGTTAGTGCTTGTAATAACAATTTGATCAAATGACTGTCAGAATTTCACACCTTTCTTCAGTCCTGCCATCTCTCTGCAGAGCATTTTCAGTGGTGTATGCAAAAACATGTGGGTTTATCAACCTCTGCTGAAAATGGTGATGGGAGCTTGGCTGGGGAGACCAGTGTAGTCTTTTCCACACAGGGTTTGATTATAATTGTAACCAAGATTTACCAGGAGACTTGAAGCCTTAGGAGGGAGGCAGAGGAGGAGATTGGTGACCTGTGGTCCCTCCAGGGGTATAGCTGCCTAGGATTTGTCCAGTTTTCTTTTTGTCTAGCTCTGTTAGTTATAAGAGAACAGTTTTTCTTTGTGGCTTTGTCTCTTCTTTTACCATCTATACATTTGCTGTTAAGTGCTGCCTGAGGATTGTCACAAATATCACAGTGAATACATTGCTTGCTATATAGCTGGGTATCCTTTTCGAGTCCCTCCATGGGTCTGAAGCATAAAGGTTTTCTATTTCTTCTTCCTACATACATGTGGGATGGGATGACCAAATAAATCTGAGCTTTGCATGGCACTCTGTCCCTGCATACCTAAGGAGTTCTTCCAAATCAATAGGCTAGCCACGACAGAGAAAGCTCTTCAGGCAGGCACCTTGGCTCAATGACACAGCAACATTTGTGTAAAAGAAACACAGTCAAACCATAACACTAATTTTAAAAACAAAAAACAACTCTCAAAGAAGGTTGGTTCCTGGGGGGAAATGGAGGGGTCATGCGTATTTTCCTGCCTTTTGAGTATCTCAGATTCTTGAGATCTCTTTATTTTCAGCCCAAGGAATAGTGTTTAATCTCTTTTTTTTTTTGGCAGCGGGGATCAAACTTGGGTCCTTCTGCTTGAGAGGCAGGTGGTGGCACCACTGAGCTAAATCCCTGGGGCCTAGTGTTTAATCTCAAGACAAAGTACAGTATATCTAATTCCAAAACTGCTTTTCACCATTAGCGCTAAATCATTTGTTTAAAATTTTATTTTACTATTTTTCTTTCTTTTGGGAGGGGAAACATTGTTAAATTTTACTTCAAAGACTATACGGTAAATAAATAGATACCTCTTTCAGTGAACTCGCAAGGAATTTCCAATAAGACATGTAATACTTAGCAACAACACTATTTAAGACAACAATGTATTTTTAGTCTTTACCTGTTGTAATTCACTAACAGGCTTCCAAAACTTCCACATATTGTGCTTTTCATATCAAATACTTACTGAAGATCTTCACTACTTTCTAAATGACTATTCTTTTTATTTCATTTTTCCCAATTACAGATGAAATGTCATTTTACATCTATAATTAGAAACATTTACAGTGGGACTGTACAAATTAACAGCAAAGTAAAGAACATGCATTTGTAGTTTCATAAAATATTTCCTGAATCTTTAAAGAAAGGGGTAACAGCAATATAAGAAAAAGTGATGATTTAGTGACTATAAGCAGGACAAAAAAATAGAATCATACTTCTTTTGCAGACTGGGGACAGTGAAATGCTCAGATACAAGTCCCCATTCAAACATGAAGCAATATTCATATAGAATAAACACCTGTACAAATAACTGATTTTATTATTTTTCATCACAGAAGTGTAGCATATAGTAGAAAGGTAAGGAAATAGAAAGCAGCAAAACTAATTCGTGAGAAGTTAGTACCTTGATCTTGCCATTCGTTGATAACCTTGATTGACATTTTAGTGTTTACACTGATCCGATCTTTTTATCTTAAACATGTGCAAGTTTTTAAAAAATCAAAGTCGTAATATTCTGATATCAAAATGTACTATCTTTCGAGTAGAGAATTTTTCAATTGAGATTTTTGTTGCCCCTTTGCACCTCAAGTCCTTCTAGAACTCATACGATTCCCACGAGCTCCCTCAGACGAAACCACCAACTTCCATCTCAGCAGTTTCTATAGGCAAACATTGCAAAATGCTGGGTGTGTAATGTAGTTCTAGAGAGTTGCATAGGATGAGAAGTTCGTCCTTTGTCTCCAAGGTCATAATGGCTCTGCTGACTTAAATTCCTTTCACTGCAGCTAGTGAGGACAACTCGAAAATGCCAGTGCGAAAGAGAACCCACTGCCCCATGATCCTAAATGAAAAAGAGAACACAGAAATCCCCTTACACATTACCCCCAGCTCCCTTTTGTCTTGTTCCTGCCAGCACAGCAGCCATCCTGCTATATATATCAGCTGCCACTCTTGCCCTATCACACTGGACGGTGATCATTTGCTGTCAACGATGATGGGGAAGGTGAGCCAATGGAGGGGTTACACCGTGTCTACCAAGCATCCACGCTGTGGGGGAATGTACCTTCCAGCTGACCATCTCTGTCACCTTCCTTTCCCCTGCAGATCACCTTCTACGAGGACCGGGGCTTCCAGGGCCGCTGCTACGAGTGCAGCACCGACTGCCCCAAGCTGCAGCCCTACTTCAGCCGCTGCAACTCGGTGCGCGTGGACAGCGGCTGCTGGATGCTGTATGAGCGCCCCAACTACCAAGGCTACCAGTACTTCCTGCGGCGCGGGGACTACCCGGAGTACAAGCAGTGGCTGGGATTCAGCGACTCCATCCGCTCCTGCCGCCTCCTCCCCCAGGTGAGTGTGGCTCTGTCTTGTTGTTGGTCTCTAGAAAGAAAATCTACTTAAATGGGGCTCTGATGGGGCCAAGATGTAGCTAAGTGATAGAACACATGCTTACTTGCTTAAGGCCCTGGATTCCGTTCCCAGCACCAAAAATAAATAAACAAACCCATTATCTTAAACCAAATAGTTCCAACTAGAGAGCTAGGCGTGGAAGCCACACCATTTAGAAGGGTGTCTCAGATGTGAACCCTTTTTTTCTGAATTCTGTAGTGCTTTTTTAAAAATCCTGTTCCCAGATTTTACATTTTAAAATGTAATTTTAAAAATTCAGGGAACAAAGACTAATTAAGAAAAAGTAGTATATTAGGAGAGAGACTGGGTTTACTGTTTACTCTTCAATATATAATTTCTTAAAAGTGTTCGTTCCAAGCCATGTCAAGTCAGAAATTCAGTCTCTCAAAATTTGTAAATACAATCTGGGACTGTTTAGTGAATTAAAAGTACCTTGGGTTGCTTGGCCTTACTTTTCTATTTGGTTATTCTTCCTAGGGAAAATAGGTCCATATCTTCTGCTTTTGCTTAGCAATACAAATTGTAGTAAAGGCCAAATCCAAATCTAAAATTTGAGGTTCAGTATTTCTGGAGAGTGGTGGCAGAGCTCTTAGGAGAGTGGAATGTGAGAGGCACGAGATACAACATCATCAAAACACCTTCACAAAGACATTCTTGCTGCTGAGGGAAATGGGTTTTAGTTGAGGGTAGGAGGCCAGGCAGGAAGCTGAAGAGTTGGATGGGGGTTGAGGTCTGACCTGAAATTTAGGCTTGAAAATAAAGAAAAGGGAAATATCTCATTTTATTTGTCACAAAAATGTACTAATCCTATGCTCCATATCATACATGAAAAACAATAGTTAATCTTACAGAAAATAGTAAGCCATTGATGCTTCTTTTTAACAGTTGTAGTGTATCCAGTGATACTTACCTTTCCAGAGACTCCCACTTTTCTCCTTTGAGAAGGGCTGTCTCAAATAACAAGCTCTAAAATGTTGTGATAAATTTTATTTTAAGCACATTTTAATTCCCAGGGACAGAGATTGGTAAACAGAAGTTAAAGAGCTGCTAAGCTCTGTTCCTCATTTTGCCTGTGAATCACTAAATTCATTAGCAGTGAGAGATTAGAATAGAATGGCTTCTGAACTCTGCAACATGGCTGATCTAGAAGCAAACTTGGACTCAGGGCAATTCTGGGCAAGTGTGACCAGGGAGGTGCATAGGCTAGAACTGGTTTTTTTTGGGGGGGGGTACCGGGGATCGAACTTGGGACCTGGCACTTGCGAGGCAGGCGCCGGAACCACTGAGCTAAATCCCCGGCCCTTAGAACTGGTTTTGACATGTTTTTGTTTTCTGTCTCTACTCTAGCACTCTGGCACTTTCAGAATGAGGATCTACGAGAGAGATGACTTCAGAGGACAGATGTTAGAGATCACAGACGATTGTCCTTCCCTTCAGGACTGCTTCCACCTCAATGAAATCCACTCCCTTAATGTGCTGGAGGGCTGCTGGGTCCTCTATGAGATGCCCAGCTACAGGGGGAGACAGTACCTGCTGAGGCCAGGAGAGTATAGGAAATATCTTGACTGGGGGGCTGCAAATGCCAAAGTTGGTTCTTTCAGACGAGTTATGGACTTTTACTGAAGTAGTTCGATTCTCTACTTTTCTCCTTTAAAATCTAATAAAATAATGTAACTTGTGATTCTGGCACCAATAGAGTCCTGTGTTTCTTTCAATCTATTAAGTATTCATAAGCAATAATAGCCCTAGGACAAACATAACATGTTTTCAAGATGGGCAGCAACCACTTACAAGGGGAATAATGTACAAATGTTATTTCCATCACTCTTCTAATGACCAAACCGTGCAGGCTTAACAAAAACTTAAGTTAGCCTACAGCAATTTTGTGGTTGTCTAACAAGGGTGTGTTAGGGGATACAATGTTTAATTCATACTGGTGGAAGCACTTCAAGTTATCCCTTAATGTTGTCCCCACTGACTTTTCTGATCAGTGTTAGTTGATGAAGGAAGTCATTCTCCGTATTCAGGCTCTTACTTTAGCTTCATAAAGAAACAAACATATTGGTCTCACTTATTGCATTCCTTACCCTTCTAACAGCTGCTATCTCTTTCCTCCCAGTTTCATTTACAACACTTTATTTCCAATTTTAACATAATTGTTTACTGTATGAGCTTTGTAGAAGATTTCAGGGAATTTACAAAACCACATACCAATGAGGTGCATTATTTTAATAAAAAGTAAGTGTATTATGCTTATACATAGAAAATATTGCTAAATGAAAAATAAGGAATCTAAACTTTCTGGAAAAGTCTATATAACTGTGCATTTGTTTACCTTAGTTTTTCAAAATGAATCAAAGCTGCTAGTAAAAATTATGATATAGTAAGTTAAAAAATAAGTGGATGAAGAAATTGAGTCAGAAGAAAAACACGAACAGGAGAGCTGAAATGGATCCATAGTGAAGGTCAAACCTAAGTTGTGTGCTGGAAGGTGCTATGTTAGTTGTAGGTAGACCCAGATTTTGGGAGACAGGAAAACAAGATCAGTTTCATGAGTCATAGAGTTTATAAGACAAATAAATTAATTATCAAGGCACTCCTAACCATTCCCAGTATTAAAACCTAAAAGAAAGCTTTCTTGTGGATCCTGGTGAAGAGGGTTCTGAATAAACAATATCCTCAAAAACATCCTGCAGTAATTAAATAAGGTTCTTAGGGCTGTTTCTGGTAAAGTTCATCACTGGAACCGATGACTTCAGGTCAAAATTCATTGAATTTCCCATATTTTGAGATTCTAATGAACTGGCTCAAATCTCATCCCACATGGGTGGGAGCTTTGTGAATCCACCTGCTTCTTCCAGCAGATACATATTCCCATGTCTCCTGTAATTCTGAGAAGGAATGAGTGGTCTGTGCTTTTCCCAGCAGCCCTCCACTCTGCATTCCTCCCTTATTATTGGATTGGTCATCTCAGCCTCCCACTAGTGCTGCCCCGCCAATACACCACACTGACTCACCCGGAGCAAACCAAAACACCGGTGTGCACAGCTGGCTTTATAACAGAGGTTCTGGAGACACAGGTACAAATTTATCAGAAGAGTACAATACCAAATTTAGTATTAAATGGCACTGCTTTGGACGGTCTATATGTCCAACGTGCTGCTGAGTAGCCTAACAACCTTCCCTGCTTTGCTCCTCTCTTCTTGGTGCATAGCCATACATACACACAGGGATGTTCTTTTTCTACAAAGTAAGTTTTCATCCCATGTCTTCAGGGCTTTCGTATCCAGCACTCACATGGCTTGTACTCAGAGTGAGCATATAATCTGCTGCTTAAACTGAGTCATTTTTGAGAATGAAAAGATGTCTTATTAATAATTGTACTGGAAAAGAAGCATGAACCAACATTGTTCTGAGAAAACTGTGGCCCATGGTCAGCAATTGTATACAAATACATAGAGGTTCCTCTCCTGGAAAATAGATTCTCAGGTTATTTTATGTTAACTGCTCCTAAATTCCCATTCTTTAACCTTTATACTCCCAACAAAGGTGTTGGCTTCTTGGAGAGATTAACCAAAGTCTTCTATTTGCCAATTAAACATCATATATGAATTAGAACACTAAAAGCTTCTTGGGGTGCTGAATTTTACACTATTCACTGAGAAGGTATAAAATTAGACTTCAGGAATAGAAGTTATCTTGAAACATCTGAACAGGAAGTACAAAAATTTAGAGTCCCTGGATCTCTTTGATGGAGACCTTATTCTTAAAAATTGGTCCCTATCATGCCTGAAATGGAAGCAAATAGAAAGATAACCTTGCCTAATCTCAACATAAAGAGAAAGTAACCAGTATGGAGTGGCTTAGGGCCACTAGTAATGGCCACCTAATACTGCTTCTCTCTTCCCTCTTAAGCAAAAGCTGAGACATCAGAGAACCATCTATTTGAGATAACTACAGTGTCAATCTATATACTCTACATTCTAAACATCTTAGACACACTGGTATTTCTTGCATATCATAGTTCGTAACACTTAGTCCAGATTTAAATCTTTTTCCTCTTTTCATGCTTTGAATCTACAATATCTTCTCACCTATTTCATCTTATAAAAGGCCCATCAAGCAATGAAACTAGAGTAGAAGTTACTGCAGAAAGGAGTACACTACCAAGAACTGCTGTACTGAGTTATGCCCCCAAGGATTCTCACTAGGATCTTTCTGCCATTTTCCTCCCTGCTACCACAGAATTAGTCTTTGATGTTAGTATATGTCTTTTTCTGTCCCTTCCAGACTTTGGAAGCTCACGTTTTCTTTTTCATGGGTTAGTAAAAATAAATAAATAAATAAATAAAAGTGACAGTCGCAACTCTTGCTGCTTAAACAAAAAGAAATGTATGTGTAATTTGAGAGACTGATTCCTTATCCAGTCTTTGTTTGGGACACTTTGGTCTACACGATCACCACCCAAATGACCTCTGCTTATTTCACCAAGCACACATATGATACAAATTCTACATTCATTGTTAAGAACCAGAAAGGTAGTAAAATTGACTGTTGGCTGGACCTTAGATACTATTAAAACTCTGAGATTTTCCCATTGCTATTGGAACATTAATTTGTCATTTCAAACTACATAATTATCATACCATTAAAATTACTAAGGAGTTGATGTTTTAGAAGACAACACAACATCATGTTTTCTCCCTTTTGCTCACACATCTCCACTGTTATAAAGGATGAAATCAATCAAGCATAGGGTGCTTGTGTCATCCTGCACATTGAAGGTTGCAAATGCAGACCTTTGTTATGAGTGTGGGCGCCAGTGTGGGCTGGGCATTTGAAAATGGGACAAGGGACTCTTGTAACAATGAATTTCAGACTAGATGACAACATTTATTAATCTCCCCAACATTTATGCAGTAACCTCTATTTGCCAAACCATTTTGCTAATTATTGAGAAAGCAAAAATAAAGATGGGACTCCCCATATCTATTTTGAAGGACTGAAGCTTAACCAAAATAATTAGAGAAGTGACAGTTACCATTACAGAGGTATTAATAGAATGCTTGAGAAAGCAAAGGTCAATACTGAATTCAACCCAGAAGATTAGGAAAGGTTCTAAAAAAAATCTTTACAGTGGAAATGAGAGTTGAAGAAAGGTTGAAAACCAGAGAAACCCAGAGTCATGTGAAATTAACATCATGTAATTGGGAAAGAACAGTATGGTTCTGTGAGACAAACAGTGAGGCAACAGACAGATGAGACTGAGTCTGGTGTGCCAGGCTAAGGGGTCGGTGCTTGACGTTGAACCAGTGTCAGGCAGTGAAGTAGACCAAGCTGATGAGCCCATTCTCATCACCTCTGCATCCTGGCAGCAGGCAGTGTGTACAAAGGCAAGTCTGGGCAGAACAGGGGATTGAAGAAAGTCCAGATGAGGCATGAAGAGATTCCCTAAATAAGGCAGTAAGTTGTATGGAGGTGAAGAAAGGCAAGGAGAAAGATCTGAAAAAATAATGCCTTTCTGAGATGAGATTAAAATTCTGTAAGGCGCATTTTCTCTTTTCACACTTTGACTCTGCAATATCTTCTTGCTTACTCGGGGTGCGTGAGTTCAGACAAGCTGAGTCCAAAGCTTACACTCTTGCTCAGGAAACTTTAGGGCCTCCTAGACCCCTTTAGAAAAGAGAAAACAATCCACAAAGCAATGCACTTCACGATATTGGGCCCCAGGACCACAGAAATCATTCCCTTGATTCTCATCAGAAGTGGGCTTGAGGGGGTGACTTCAAGTTACTGCATACAGTGAGCCCACCAAAGAGGAAGTTAAGAGCTAGATCTAAAGCATTGGCTTAGCACAGTCAAAAGTAGCCAAGATCTGAATCTTGATTTGTATGTTGCCCCAGACTGGCAAATCTTATGGAAGAAAAAAAAAAAAAATTAAGATAGACTGGGTTCTCTCATCCAGGGAAATTATTATAGTCAGTGCTGGTAGCATTTTATCTCAGAATTCTAGCCTCCTGTAATTCTGGAAGCATTTCTACGAAGACATAGCCTTTTCCCAGAAGATTCAGGAGATACAATGGAATCACGGTGTAGAGATGAATTTCAGGTCAAAAGTTCAGACTGCTGTGCTGATAAATTTAGAAAACACTAAGAATCCAAATAAAAGCAACAGAGAGCAGCACATACAGGACAGCATTAGAATATACCAGAGAATGAAGGCAAATCTACAATCACTGCCACTGAACGCAGCACGTAAAAGGGATCCATAAAATCCCCTTACTCACCCCCGCAGGCCTCTTTTGTGTGTTCTTGCCAACGCAGCAGCGCCCGGGCTGTACAGACGCTGCCGCTCGCCGGCTGCACCACCCTGAGCTTGCACCATCCGTGTCACCGCCATGGGAAAGGTGAGCAGGCCACAAGCTAGGGAAAAGGAAAAGGGGGAAAACCTTTATACGTACCGACTGGGAACAAATAATTTTATTCAAAATGATTCTTCCTTTGCAGATCACTTTCTACGAGGACCGGGCTTTCCAGGGCGACTGCCCCAACCTGCAGCCCTACTTCAGCAGCTGCAACTCGGTGCGCGTGGACAGCAGGCTGCTGGATGTTGTATGACCGCCCCAACTACCAAGGCTACCAGTACTTCCTGCGGCGCGGGGACTACCCCGACCACCACGGCTGCATGGGCCTCAGCGACGCGGTCCGCTCCTGCCGCCTCATCCCCCAAGTAAGTTAGCTTCATTCGCCTTTGTTATCTAGGGAGGCTCCAGTGAGCGAATTTTCTTCTTGAAAAGTACCTAAACATTAAAATCCTTTAGATATGTGCGTAAGCCTAGATGGATTCGGGCATGAAAAACAGCAGGCAATATAAGGAAGAATCCACTTGGGAGACTGTATTTTTATTTTTTAATTTTTGCTGCTATTAGGTCAATCAGGAGTTGTCTGTAGCACATGTAATAGTGTAATGAAATATAAAATAGAACTTGCAAATGGGAAGCTGGTTGACAGTATTTCTAACAAAATAATTTTTACCTACAGTAAAGGAATTTCTAATAAATGAATTGAGTAGGTTCCACTTTGGACTAGGAAATATTAAAGACTCTTGTTAACACAGGCTAGTCAAAAGTAGTGTTCAACTTTGGAAAAGATCATTTACTCTAATTTAGAAAATCAAAATAGGGAGGGATGGAGGGGTTGAAGGGAGGGCAGGGGAAGGGGGAAAAATAAGAACCAAGACAGATTATGTAAAGGTGCAAATTTCCAATGATGAATGTCATTATATTGTATACCTAGAATGTACCAATAAAATAAAATTTAAAAAAAAAGAAAATCAGCTAAATTCTGGTTCCAGGCTACCAACTTTCCACTTAAGTACATGATTTTTAAAATCTGACTTTAGTGGTAAACTTTTATGCGTATAAAATAAATAATACTCTTATTAAGAGAATACTAATCAAATTATTTCTATTTTCCCCCAAAATACAGGTTTGAGTTAATACAAGAACTTAGGAATCAAGATATTTGAGCTCTTGATGGATGCTAACTCTGAGTTTGAACCTCTTAAAAATTCTATCTCCCAGATAAGAAATGTACAGCAACCATGTCAATACCGTATGTGGTAAACTTAGCAGCAGACTGACCCATGCAGGGCACTCAGCAACCTCACAGCCTCACATTTTACATGAAAAATCTCAGGCTCCAGCCTAGCAAGGTCACTGCTATTTGGTTAGATGAATTCTGGAGAAGGTTCGTTTGCTTTCTCCAATGCTTCTTTTTGGAGCCAAGCAGACAGGCTCCCACAGGATGTGGCTGTATGAGACAGAAGACCACAAGGGCCTCATGATGGAGCTGAGTGAGGACTGCTCCTGCACCCAAGACCGCTTCCTCCTCAGCAAGGTCTGCTCCCTGCACGTGCTAGAGGGCTGCTGGGTCCTCTACGAGCTGCCCAACTACCGTGGGCAGCAGTATCTGCTGCGACCCCAGGAGTACAGGCGGTACCACGACTGGGGAGCTGTGGATCCTAAGGCAGCCTCATTGAGGAGGGTGGTGGATTTAACTAAAATAGGTTAACACAACCATTTTCTCATTTTGGAATCTAATAAAGTATTTAGTCTGTATTGTTGGCAATTGCAGACTTCTGCTTTTATTTCATTGTGTGCAAATCAATCTACTAGTAAATGCTCCCCTTCAAAAGTTAAGAGGTGAATGGGAAAAGGGAGGGGTCTGTTCAAGAAGAACTACAAGGTAGAATTGAGTTTAAACAAGGCGGGATGGGTGGGGGAGTGTATCTACCTGAGGGAAAAAAGGAAGGTCAAAGCTATTGACACAAGAAAAGGTGGTTTCTGGGAAGGGAGTCATTCAGCTACGGGCTTTGAGGAACAATATTTCTAGAAGTTTATCTCTGACCCAAGAAATTGTTGAAGGTCGCAAAAGGCACAATTAAATGATGGTAAGGTCAAGCCCAACTTGCCAAACTGAGGTTAGGTGAAGCCTAACCACACCCTTAGCCAGTACTGCCCCTGCCCAAATATACAGAAATTGCCTAGCTAATCCAAGCACATGAATAAGAGATATCATCAATATTTTAATAGACTTGCATGATATAACATACCACAAACTAAAAAGCCCATTAACTCCAAAAAAAAGCTTAAATGTAAAGGCACATTGAAGAAAGCTATAATTTCTAGAGCTTTTTTTTTTTGGTACCGGGATTGAACTCGAGACCTTGCGCTTTCGAGGCAGGCGGCAGAACCACTGAGCTAAATCCCCGGCTCTAGAGCTTTTTAATTAAACTAAAATCTACTTGTTTACAAGCAAATCCCTGCAAATTAAAATAAAATTAATAAGTAATTGTGACTCTCTTAAATCAATAGAGATTAATTTATTTTTAACATCCCTCCAAAGTAAAAGCTGCACATAATCTTATTACCTTACAAATTCTATAAATGAAGTAGAAGGATCCTTCCGGTTCTCTTCATTGTTACCCCTGTTTGCCTAGCAGGCACCCTGGAATTCTCCCCTTGTTTATGTAGCTATTTCATGAAACACATACTTCTTTGCTTTGCAAAAATGGAGCCATGCTGTACATACTATTCTGTGTCTTGCTTTTAAAATGTAATATAATGCAGACATAGATCTAGATCAGAATCCCATTCTGTTTCACAGCTGAATGGCATTCCATGGTTTGTTCCCCTACATTATGACACCCTTTCTCCATGAATATTTGGTTTTACCAGAGTTGCTTTTGATCACAGCCCTGCAAACGATCTCATCAGACATGTACCCTTATCGCCATGTGCTAGAATTTCAAGAGAGTAGAAAGCTAGAAGTGAGACTGCCTTCTCACAGTGCAAGTTTATTTTTTTATTTTGATAAACTGCCCAATTATTATGTACTAGGAATTCTAACTTCTCTGAGATAGGATTCTTACCATTTATTGGGCACCCACCATGGGCTTGCTATATGTAGCATTAGGGGTGAAAAAATAACCAAAACAAACAAGAGTTCTGCATAGAAATTACACAAAGTACTCATAAAATAGTAAGATCTAATCACTTTTTAAGTCAAGTACTCACCAAATGCAAAATAATACAAATTAATCACTTTATTTATTATTGAGTACTTTTGCTAAGTGCTTTTAAATCATACTGTGACAAACATTTAGGGGAAATAAGTGGAATAATATTCAATTGCATATTTCTCCTCTTATGGTATTCCTTAACATTTTGGGAATAAAAATAGTTTTCTTGGCATGACACACTCATTTAATACGTCCTGATACATTTTCCATGACACTTCCTCCCCTGCTTTAGAGCAACAACTCCAATGAAAACTGTTTCTGATGAGTAGAAAAAAATCTGTCCTACCATAATAGATACCGATGACAGGTACAGGGCTGCACTGCAGAAGCAACCCCTTTCTGCCTTTGGTCCTCTGGCTGGGGAGCAGGGGGCAGGCCAGAGCTGGTCTCAGGATCTCTCCCACTGCCACCGCCAGCCCTCTTTCCTTCCTGCTTCCTCTCCTCCCACCCACATCTATTGCCTACTTTTCTGCTCCTTTCGTCCCTTCTCCAAGCCACTGTTCACAAGGTCCATGCAAAATGAATCCTCCTATGCCCCCCCCATTCTTTGGGGGAAAATCTTAACAACAATTCCAAACAGTCTGGTTTTTTGTGTTAAAGGCATTGAGACTCATATAAATATTCTAAGGAATTAAAAATTCTGAAAAAGCATCCAAATGTTTTATAAATGCCTCATTTTCTCTTTCTCACACACAAAATTACAATTAGCTTGGCACTCAACATGAAATGGCCATTTTCATGCAGACTTTTGAAAGAAAAATGTTGAGGACCTGGTTCCCATCATTTTTATAGTCATTTTTGCACCTTTCCTGGTGAATCATACATCTTTAGTGAAGAGTTTTGAGAACAGTAAAGCTCACTGATAGCTAACCATAATGGTGGCAGACAGACATTAAGATACCTGAATAAAACTACTTCATTTAAAGAGAAACATCATGTAGAAGTTTTACAACAGAAGCTTTGCTCATAAAGATCATTAACTTGAAGGCAAAAAATAGCTCAATCATATAAGCAACTTCTATACTGGACATACTAAGCCTATTATTTCCAATAATTATTTTTAAAAACTGGTGTTTTGTTAAATTAAATTACATATCCCAGTTCTCACAGCTTGTCAGAGGCAAGGATAGGACCCAATTAAAAATTGTCTAATGTCATTAACTCCTAACATGAGGAGTTCTAGTGAAAAATAACCCTAGAATAGTATCCTCCATCCCAAATTTCTCACATTCTTTAAATCAAGTGGTTCTCAGCACTTGAGATTTTTCAGGATCAATTTTCTTCAGATGGGAACCAACATAATAGTGCCAGTTTTTATTTTAACAAGCAACATAAAAACCAATCAAATTAAGTGTCATCTATTCTTACATCACTTTATAAAAGAAAAGACATTTTTAACCCTCCCTCCCTGATACAAAAGTTCCTAATAAAATATGCTTAAACCCAAGAAAGTATACTTGGAAACTTTAACTTGATGGATAGTTTTCTCAATTGGTTAAAAACTAGTTGAAACTAGCATAATTTGAAAACTCCTATTTGGAGCTGTGAGTCATTTCTTCAGGTGCTGCTTTCTAAGACAATAGAGAATGATGGAGATTATGTCAAATTCTTGAAAAATGTGAGCCAACCAAAATGTGAATTACAAAAATCATATAAACACACTACCAGCTAAGCAAAACACATCTCCAGATTCACAGTCCTCAGAGTTGCCAATTTTCATTTCCATGACAACCTGGACGCTGTGGAGAGCAGTCACCTGTGGACACACAGTGATTTCTGATGAATCACTTCCCTCTCCTGGGGGTCCCTAGAGCGTTACTTCCTGGACTAGACTGAGGTCAGGACTCTGGTGTCTGTTCTTAAGTCTTGTCACACTTTCAGTGACAATCTCCATCAGTTTTTCCTGACAGCTTAAAAAGAATGCATGCCATTGTTATAAGGATGTTCGGGCCTGATATTCACCTGGCTCACATGTACAACTTGAGACTTAAATTTTGCACACATTTGTTACTCCTGGAACATTCTGTAGAGCATTTAAACGAGGCCACATTTTTCTCTAAGCCATTAGCTTTTTAGCTCTGTGAGAAGTCAGGTATTTTCCTTGTTTCTTCCACCGTAGGCCGAAATAAAGCCTTCTCTCTTCTTGGCTGATGAAAAAAAATGTCCAATTCCTCTTGTTTGGGTCTTCCAGATGAGCCCTAAGATTTTATTGCAGCTTCATGTCAACAAAGACAGTGGTCCCCACAGACATCTGCTTTACAGTCGAGGTTTCTCCTAGTTTTCTTCCTTAGCCGCGTGGAACATGCTCGATGGGACTCTGAATTCCAGTTCCTTCTCATATTTTACTGTTTTTATCTATCAGTACTCTTCCTACAGCATCCTGGTCTTAGATTCATCTCTGAGAAAAATAGGGTTGTTTTAAATGTATTTTTAGTATTTCAAAATTTTAATTATAATGATGATTTGTATGTACTATATTCTGCTGCATATTTCCCTCTAAACATAAGTAATATATGTTTATACCTACCATATTGGATAATCAGAAGCTAGAAAACAAAGAATTGAAATCATCATATTGGGCATAGTTGCTGTTTAACTCTTAAATACTAACTTACAAAGATGTATGAGTCAAAGACAAGACAAAGTCTTTCCATGGGTTGGAATAGGACTGTGAATAATTCTATGAACATGAAAGAGGCCAGACACACAGGTTATCTTCCACACCATTGCTCTTTCCAGTCCATCAAACTGTTTTCCAGGCCAGTAAATACCTTCTAAAGTCTTCCTAGAGTCTCAGCTTTTAGACATCCACTCCTTCCTCTGCCAGTGCCATTCCCTCCATGGCTCCTCTTTGTATTCGTACAAATAATTTCCTCCAAGTCAAAGGTGTTGTTTACTCTTGTTCACCAGAGAACAAAGGGGTATATTAGACCCTACCAGAATGTGTTTCTTAGGAATTGATTTTATTTTATAATAACTAAGAGGTAATCTGTTTTTGTGTTTGAAATGTATGGCCTTTTTTATGCCCTTAAATGTAGACCTTTCTTTTTACTTCTAAGATTAAGTATCTTAAAACTGTTCTCCCCTTTGAATCACAGGACCAAAGTTGGCTAAGAGAAAAGGTCTCTCACTCTACTTCCACACATGACTGCAACAAAACCAGAAGCAAATGAAGATTCTCATTGACTGTTTTTATTTTGTTTTTGGTTTTGTTTTGTCTTTAACCTTACTGAAGGTTTGACATTGTGGAAACTCCTTTGGGAAAACATTCCAGTTCTTTACATCCTTTTATCCTGAAGTTC